TTCCAAAGGGCAAAATCAGACTTTAGTTAGTGTGTTGCAGCCTTGTTCAGCCAAGAAAATTTGCATAATGGCATTCACTCCACTGCTACAGCAGAACTTTGAAAAGTTACTTTTTTGGACTATAACTCCCAGAATCCTTCATTAGCATGGATACTGGCCATGCTGCCTGGCTGATTCTGAAAGCTATGGTAACAGAAAAGCAGTATTTACAAGCCCTGAGAGACGCTATAAAGCAAGTTAGCCCAATAGCAACGCAGCTCGATCTTCAGCCAGAACAGCAAGCCTTTTGCATCGTGCAGTTCTGAAACAAAGCAAACAATGCCAGGCGGCTAGGCTGGGTGAGAAGCATCCAGAACAACATGGCATAGGCTGACCTCATTGTGAAAAAATCCCCCTTTGAAAGCAGATCTATTTTTTCCTATTGTGTGGAGAGATAAAAGATATTTCAGCAGGGCCAAGTTCTGGAATATATACATAGTCAGTGTTTCCCAGGGCCCCTGCAGTCCAGTGTGATCACTCATTGTTTTAAGGGGCTGCCTGCGAGAAAGCAAATGGATTTCTTTCCAGCATCTGCCTGTTCTCTATTCACTCACGAGAGTAACATTTCATCACTGTTTCCATAACCCTTTGCACTTCATAATAGTGTGTCATAATTCTGATCTCATTTACCCACCACAACAAGTCCATAACAATAGCTTATATTGCTTTCATTACTATTAAAAAGCTCCTGAGTTCCCTATCATTATTCCCATTTTACAGATCACTTGAAGAGATAGAGTGGTTTGCCTAAAGTCACTTAAGTGTAACCTAGTGAAAGTGCTGGGATTTGATCCCCTTCCAACTCCAAGACTTAATAAGTGAATTATTCAGCCACAGAAGATGCCATCTCTACAGAGTGCAAGAGTGGAGTGATTGTCTTGACAGGGGGAAGGGGCACATGCCCATGGTGGGTGAGAACGGAGCCAAACAGGGATGGCTCCATCAGCCCCACCCTATGTTTTTCCCTCTATATACTGCTAGCTTCTAAAACTACTTACTGAATGTCACTGTGCAGCAAGTGCACCTTTTTCTGATATATGGAGTTTTGTGGGAAGAAAAATATGGAAAAAAAAACATAGCTTGGGAAAGCTTTTAGACTACAAATTCCAGAATCTCAAGCTATTATGGTCACTAGCCAGCCTGGCCAGGGGGAACTGTGTCCCTAAAAAATTAATATTTCCAAAATCTGCACAGAAGCATTTACCCAGAGGGTTACAATGATGTTTGGAATCCCCCATAACATTCTCTGCTTGAGACAAGGTGATCATCATACAATAAAATCCTTTTTTGGAATCTCTCTGTGTGCCACACCCTTCTTGCTCACTTTTCCACGTATCTCTTCGTTCCTTCTCCTGCAGAAAGGACAGATGATTTTTGCTAATATTCTGACCACATCCCTTGTGGTATGCTTTTGATGTTCACCTTAGGTCTGCAGACTGCCCACCACTGTCATAGAGGATAACGATGGAGTAGTGCCTCCTATTCATAGACAACACAGAGGATAGGCCAGAGCATAGTGTTTCCAAGTAAGATAAAGGTAAAGGTTCCCCTTGACATTTAGTCTAGTCGTGTCCGACTCTAGGGTGCGGTGCTCATCCCCATTTCCAAGCCATAGAGCCAGCGTTTTCTCCGAAGACAGTTTCCGTGGTCACGTGGCCAGTGCGCGACTAGACACGGAATGCCGTTACCTTCCTACCGTGGTGGTGCCTATTTATCTACTTGCATTTTTACATGCTTTCGAACTGCTAGGTTGGCAGGAGCTGGGACAAGCGACGGGAGCTCGCTCCGTCACGTGGATTTGATCTTATGACTGCTGGCCTTCTGGCCTTGCAGCACAGAGGCTTCTGTGGGTTAACCTGCAGCGCCACCACATCCCTTCCAAGTAGAAATACTAAATTCTAGTTGGGGTGATTTATAGTTCAAGCAAGGGATGGCAAGATGCTTCAACATTTCACCCCCTGCTTGCATCATGAGCTACCAAGTATTCAAGTTCAAGCAAGGGATGGCAAGATGCTTCACCATTTCACCCCGTTTGCATCATGAGCTACCAAGTATTCAAGTGTGAGATCAGCCGTAAAGTTAAAGAGTAAAAGAGAGTAAGCTGCCATTTTCCCTCTCTCATCTAAAAAGACTGTCATGAGACTAAATGTTACTCAGAAATCCTTGGAAGAAATATGTGGTATAAAATATATGTGGTTGTGGGTCTGTGTAAACACACACACACACAAAAATGAATACAGTAGGCACTGCAGAAACATGTAGAGAGTGCTGATCTAGAGAATTATACCACTCTGAAGACCCTGGCCAGTGTCCTCTTCATCTATTGTGCAATCAGTGTGACCTTTTCCAAGTGTGAGTAAGGAGGCAACCATTACCTCCTTGTACTGGCAGTGCAAAGCCCATTTATTTTAAAGGTGAGGCTGCCATCTTGCATAACGGTAAATCAGAGATTGTAATGGTCTCTTTTCTTATGATGCCTTCTTTCAAGAGACCCATTGACATCAATGGGACTTAAAGTGAGTCAAAAATGACTTACGCTCCATAATTTTCAATGGGTTTCACACAACCATGTCTGGCTGCTATCTAATGTCATATTCTTTTCTGTTCATTTGGATCAGAATGAGAAGATAAGATGAGAAGATAAAAATTTAAATATTATACATGAAAATTTAATTATGTCTGTTAGAATAATAACCGACTAATAATTATTTCAACAGATATATTTATTTATTTATTTATATCTATCTATCTATCTATCTATCTATCTATCTATCTATCTATCTATCTATCTAGCTAGCTAGCTATCTAGCTAGCTAGCTATTTAGCTAGCTAGCTAGCTAGCTAGCTCATGTATACCTCAGACATGTCATCTTAATTGAATACTTTGCTGGAATGTTTCAGTTAATATTTTACTTGAATGTTTCTTAAATAACTCAAATTACGAATTAAAAAAAAGCAAAGATGGGAAAAATCTAGCATCTGAATGGTCTGAAAAATCAGCCTCTTCTGTCTAAGGTTGCCATTTAATTAATGCCAATTAAAACATAATCATTATGATACTGCTATATGCACAATAATTTTCTGCATTCCTACCCAGAAGAAAGTACTGTTAAGCTTTTTTAAGATAAGTCCTCAAAGGGTTACAGCCATAATTTCCATGTTGCACAATGTACTGTATTAAATTCTCTAAGACTGTAAATGCATATATACTTACCTGGAAGTATAACGATTGAACTCTATAGGACTTTCTTATGAAAAGATGTGCAATGGATTGCATGTTAGATATTTCAGGTATAAGTATTTTTCCAGTATACTACTTCAATTTTAAGAAAACAGTCCTGTACTACAGGTTAACATATTCACTGTAGTGTTAAATATTCTTGTATTTTAGAAGTATGGCTAAAAGTTAGTTATTTTGATCCAGCTGACTCAGGCATGAACTGAGATTTGACTTGGAATCATATTAGATCCTAAATTATTATTCTAACCATTATATTACAGAAGTCCATTCCATTCATGTCCATTCATTCTACAAAAAAGAGACCAAAAGCCTTATGTGTTCTAAGGTTTATTGCTCCTTCTTCCTCCAATATAAAATTCTGGAAAATTTGGAATTGCAGGCTCTAAAGTTTGGTGCCTATTCAAAATTAGGCTGCAGGTCCTATTCCCTTAAAAACCCATGAGGGTTTTGCTACCTTCTTGAAGTAGAGGAGAGGGAATATTTTTCTTAGTATTTGTGACGGCCATGAACCATACAGGTACATATGGACTTCCAGAGCCTCCTCTCAATTCCCTCCTCTTTCCTTCCCTAAAGGTTTTATTTCAGCCTGATTTGCAGGGCTTTCGATTAAGAATATTTATAAACTTGGATTGATGGTGTTCATAGCCCTTATGTACCAGTGTATTCCCGCCTTTGAGGCATGATATAATTGAGAATGCTCACGCTGTGAATCAGAGGGCTATATTGGTCAGCTACTTGCCAGATTCCTCAAACAGACATAACTGTGCCCTCTTTCATGTTGCAGTAGTACAAAACACACAGCTACATTTCTTATGTAGGTTTTCTGTCCCAAGCATTCTTGGAATCATCATGGTAGCCTTTCTTATATATATATATATTTGTCCTGTGGCTATAAGTTAACCTATCTTAACATGTTGCCCCTTTTCTCTTCCACCACAGGCTTCAAAAGCTCAGACCACCACAGAAGAGGAAGCCTGGCTTGACGCTGTGTATTTTGATTTGACACTGGAGATCTAAAGCTTATCCAGGAAATGTGCTAGATTTAGGGCTGCAAAGCTGAACAAAGATACTTCTCATCCAAAGTGATAAAAAGCTTCAGCACCTCAAAAAGGCAAGGACTAAAGAATCTGAAACCCACACTGCATCAGATTTAGTTTTGCAGGAAAAGCGTCAACGCGAATCCAAGGGAGAGTGTTGATTTTAGTCAGTGAACTCATATCTATATGTGTATATGTGCATGCTTGAAAAGTTGGGAAGGGAGTTCCACTCTTGGTGGCTTTAAGGACACCAGTTGGCTCCCTGCTGCCCTATAAAACAACTGACTGAATGTCTCCTACATTACATTTTCTGGCCAATTCCTGAAAAGTTTACAGCAATGTTGGCAGCTGAAGGTCAGCTGTGGAAACTTAACAAAACTGTAGGCAAGGCATTACAAGAATCAACTCTGTGTGTATGATTCTCTTTATGATACAAACCTTGATGTTTCTGTCAGAGGCGAAGAAGTTACTGTTTGAACTACAATTCCTGGCACAATAATTAGGTTTGGGGGTTTTCGTACAAAAAGATGTCCCCAAGTACTGTACTAGCTTCTATGTAACGTGTAGAGTAATACATAAGTCTTGGAAGCCCCAGGTGGGGGGCAAGAAGCACTGTCATGCTGGGGAATCCTTACATGCCAACCAAAAAGACTTTGCAGAAAAGCAATTGAAGGGCACCTTACCTGATAGATCATAACTTTAAAATTTCTGCGCTTCAGCAGCTCTGTCTCATTGGATTCCAGCTTCTTGATTTGCCCAGCTTGTTTCTCCAGGTTCTGCCGGACCGTTTTTACGTTGACACTGACCTTGCGGACCTTCTCCAACATCTTGTTAACTGTGTTACTGGTGGTGGTGTGGGCCTTGGTCAGTTTGGCCAGCTCCCCTTGAATGCTGGCTACCACTCCATCCATCTCTTGCTGCCGCTCCTCCAACTGACTTTGGGTCAGCTGAATCTGATCCACTGCCCCAATGATCTTGTCCAGAAGGGTGAGCACCATAACCCCATTGATCTGGTCAGGTTTGATAGGTTCCTCAGAAGCTGGTTCCTCTGAAGCCTCGGAGGCTGCTGGCTGCTCCACAATCTGGAGGGTGGTGTCTGCCATGGTCACTCAGGAGTCCTGATTAGCAGAGCCCAGAGAAGTTTGACAACTGCAAGCACAAGGCTAAGAGACAGAGACAGAAAGGGAGGCTGAATCTGAGACCTCTTGGATCTGGGAGGCAAGCCAGAAACCAAGAGCACAGCAGCAGCAGCAGCAGCAGCGTGTGGATGTGTACTTCAAATGAAATGGCACAACCCTTGCAAAGCTGTTTGGGGAAAACTGTCCTGCAAAAATTTCCAAGCTCCCAAGCTATTGGCTGACTCCACCTCAACTGGAGGAAAGGAGCCTCCTGCCAAATGCGTAGTGGACGCCCCCCCTCGCCCTGTCTCTCTGAAATGATTAAAATAGTTGGAGACGCTTGCTGCTTTAGCATGCAAGCACAGGCAGGGCTTGCTCATCCGACTGCTCGCTCACTCGCTCACGGAGGAATGCAAAGCTCCAAATGGCAACAGCCTCTGCTTTCGCTAGGCAGTGGGAAGGCAGGGATTCCAAGTGAAACTTTTGGGGAATCCAGCAGGGGAGGGTGGAGAAAATAGCAAACAAAAAACTCTTTGTACAAAAAGTTACTGACAGGAGAAAGAATGTCCTGTTATGCTTACCACAGTAAATGTTCAAGGGTGGTGGCTGGAAACAGCTGCATGTAGAAGAGCACAGCTGAGAGAACCCAGAAACATCTGCCTTTGGGCAGGACTGGGCAAGGTTGTGTTTCCTTTTAAAGGCACCAACTGATACTTTAGGACACATGTGGCTCAGATAATTCACCATGCACAACTGAGCTGTGCCACTGAGATCATTTCTGCCACAGAGGTGTGCCCATAACAGTAGGCAAATCTACTACTGATACACCCTTCAGCAAGCCATACTGAATTAAACGGGAAGTGGTTTGGAATGCAACACAAGCAGAGTAGTTTGGATTTAAATACTGTAGATGAGTAGGAAAACAATACTCTTCTTTTAAAGAAGTGGCAGGCATCTATGATTGGCCTGACAATACCTCCCTGATATAGGGTGCAAATACACAGTTGGAAAAATGAGAATGGATGTGAAGTTGCACCCTGGACATTGGGTTTTCCCAGATGAACTTGCTTTAGCCGACCACATAGAAGTAAGCAGAGAGACAGGAGAAAATTGGCACAGGTGCTCACATGATCTCAACCAATATAAATGCATTCACTACAAAAATGCAGAAGCCCCAGTAGTGGAGGAAAAAGGTTTGGATTGGTTGATTCACATTGACTTGTACGTAATGTAATCAAGAGAAAAAACATGAACCTCTCTGCCCCAATCCCAGAGAATTTCCCATATTATTTGCCAATGAAATCACCCCCACCCTTTCTGTCTTCCGATGTTACATCCAAATGGGAGAAATTCCATGGTATTTCTCTTCCTGAAATCCAAGAAAAGGGTACTTTTGCTGCCTCCTCACAGCCCTCTCCCAGTCTGAAGCAACAGCAAGTAGATGATAGCAGTGTTTTCCAAGTGATAAAATTGTTTTCTTTGTCCCATTCAAGCACCTCTAATGTTCTGTACCTTGACCTCCCCTTATTACAATAAGATGAAAGAGTCAGTGTCAATGCAGTGGCTAGTGTGTCCAGCTTAAATGTGAGAATCCTGTGTTTATGCATTTTGAATGGTGTTATTGATATGAAGCACATCACTTTTTCACTTTAATCCAAGTTTTATCTTGAAACCCTACATGATTATATAGAAAGAGAGACTGACCAGCATGATATCAGGGAGCCACAGAGAGAAAGACTACAAATGTAAAATTTTACAGGGTAAAGTTGTTGGCTGCATAGGTCAGTGGTTTAGATATCTGGCTTAAAGCCTGAGGTTGGGAGCTCAAGTCCTCTCTGTGTCTCCTGCAAGTAGAACCAGCCTGTACAGGCTTGAGCACATTGCACAGTCCCAGGACACCCCCATCAAAAGGGAATGGTACACCACATCTGAGTACTTTCTACCTTGAAAACCCTGCAAAATGTTGTCATAAGCAGAACTGACTTCATGGTGCACAATTATTATTATTTGGCAAATCTGTCTGTCAAATTAACTGTTTGTTTTTAGGGAATGGACTATGTAGCATAGGATGCAGGCATTTCCATTTCCAACACAATGTTTCTACAATATGCAGAATTATGTAACATATACAGAATAATGCATGTAAGGGACTTCCAGCTTGACACTGCAACGAGACAGCAGGAGGAGGATGGAGCTCCGTCCCCTGGGCTGAATTCCGACCTGTTTGGGACACCCCCCAGGGGGTTAAAACCACTCCGAAGAGATGGTGAAATGGGGGAGAAGCCTGTTGATCACAGGGGGGCGGCATTTACCCACATTTGATCCAAGAAACTCCCCAAACATCCAGTGGGTGAAAACAAGCAGCTGAATTAGTTTGCTTGCAAGTCATCGGCAGCTGGCAAAAGAAAAAGCGATAAATCAGCCAGTTTAACATCATAGTTACCACTGGGTGAGATACAAAATCTTAACTATACTGCTCTATGACTATCCCTGGATGGAATAACAGAAAAAAAGTGCTGCTTAGCCCTACCACTAAATTGAGTTGCAGTGGATCTGGAGAAGGGAAAGAGATGCAAAGAGTTGCAAAGAAAATAAATTGGATATTAATTAAACACTTAATTATACTTCAAGGAAGGAAGTTTGGTAATACTTTGGTGATAAGAAATTTTCCTCTTAAAATTATTTAGCCAAACAACGCTGGGAATTAAACTGTTATGGCTATCTACAGGGTTGGCAAAAAGCCCAGAACATGACCTTGAATACTCAAACTTGGAACTCTGTTTTGACTTTCCTTTTTTCTTCTTCTGAGAACTGACTAAAACATAGACAATTAACTTTGGAAAGTCTAATACAAACATTGAGTGAATGAGGCTGTCAACATGCGTCAGAGACTGGATTTAAATTAACCCTAAAGGTGATCAATTTACTAAAGTGGACTTATTGAACCAATTATTGATGGAACTGGACTGACTGCACTAAGCTAGTGGACATCTTTTACTTGAAATGCAAGTTTTTGGGACATAATGCTACAACAAGGGAAATTCTGGGATGAAACAAAATCTACCCTTCAAGCAATCTTAGAGATAGTGAGATCCCATAAGGAAGAGGTGAAATCATTCAAGAAGCAACTAAAGAAGAACTATATTCAACAGGAGACATGGAATAATGAACAAGGAAATGTGAGGGTGGAGGACGATGTATGCCAACCAAAAGAAGGACTGTAGGAAACCAGAGGGGAAAATTTATTTATTTATTTATTTATTTTATTTCTATCCCGCCTATCTGATCATATTAGACCACTCTAGGCGGCTTACAGTAAAAACAACAATGTAATTTTAAGACTTTACAGCAGAAACGTAAATAATAAAAAAGAATAAAGAACAGAATAAGAAAAAAGATCGTCAAAAATTAGGAGATTTAAATCTAACCCTAGAGCCAAGGAGAATTTTAACTGTTAAGGGAAAGTAACGGGAGAAAATCAGCAGAATTAATTAAAAATAGCCTGGAAGATCTACTAGAGAAAGATCAAGTACTGTATATAAAATGTTTTCAGATTACACAAGGAACGACAGAATGTTTAGGGAGACAGAAACAAGAATTAGGAAAAGAAAAATAAGAGAAGGAGTTAGAAATATGAAAAAGGGAAAAATATTAAGGTGGCCCACAACGTTGAAAGCATGCATATACTTAACTTCTGGAATTGCAAAGAGGCATATCTTATATATTAAAAAAGAGAATCTGAAATAAGGGCTCATTAATCAGGGTAAAGGCATAACATGGTGGTTTTTATGGTAAACTGAAGCTAGATATAAGGATGGGGCAAAACAAACAGTACTTAATGAATACACATTAGATATGATATTGATATAGACATGATAGAAAATGTGGAGAAAAAATGGCTAAAAAATTAAATAAACAAAATGTGTATAAAATGCTTCAGATAACATCTATTTATTTGTTAGGAACCTACTCAGTTATTATTGGTATAAAATACAAAGTTTGTTGGTTAAATCACCTCAAAATTACAGTGGTGCCCCGCATAGCGACGTTAATCCGTTCCAGGAAAAACGTCGCTGTGTGGCTTCGTCGCTATGCGGGGCAGAAAACCCCATAAGAACGCATTAAAACACATTTAATGCATTCTTATGGGGGATAAACCCACCGTTATGCGAAGATCCCTCATGCGGCCGCCATTTTCGTGCCCTCGGTAAGCGAGGGCAGGGCGCAAAAACGGAGCGGGTGGCCATTTTCTTTGTGGCCATTTTGGAACTGCTGATCAGCTGTTTTAAAAAAATCGCTATGCGAAAATCGGTAAGCGAAACACTTACCGATTGTCGCAAAGCGATTTTTGGCCATTGGAAACATCGGTATGCGATCGCATTAGCGATCGCAAAATCCGCATCACTATGCGGATTCATCGTTAAATGGTGTGCTCGTTATGCGAGGCACCACTGTATATAGATTTGGAACCATAATTACTTTTATTAGATATTACTCTAGAGCAGGGGTCTCAAACTCAATTTATCTGGGGGCTGTTGGAGGCAGAGTCTGGGTGAGGTTGGGCTGCATCAGATTTTCCACAAGAAAAGCTTTGTTGAAGCTTTTTCTGTCTGAACAGGGAGGCTCTGTCCACTGACTGGCTGTTGTTTATCCTCCTTCCTCCTCCTGCCCCCAGCACCTTCTGGTGAGAGCTCTGCCCTGCAGCAGGACAAACTGGGCCGACCACAGGAAGTGGCTCCGTCGCCTACTCAGGACTACCCACAGCTGCCGATGCAGGAGCTGCTTCCTTTGCACCCTTTGGCTGCGGAAGGGGCACCAGGGTGACCAGCCTCTCCAGTGGATCAGGCCAGCTTGCCGAGGGAAAGTGTGCCAAAAGCCATTTGCCATAGTCAGTGGACAGAGCCTCCCTGTTCAGATACACTATATCTGGGTGAGCATTCAAAAGCATTCAAGGCAGAAGGGAAAAGGCGATGGGTCAGAGGAACTAGAGACCAAATTGCTAACATGCACTGTATTATGGAGAAAGCCAGAGAGTTCCAGAAAAACATCTGCTTCATTGATTACACAAAAGCATGGCAGAAAGTGAGGAGGAATTAAAGAACCTCTTAATGAGGGTGAAAGAGAAGAGCGCAAAAAATGGTCTGAAGCTCAACATAAAAAAACTAAGATCATGGCCACTGGACCCATTACCTCCTGGCAAATAGAAGGGGAAGATATGGAGGCAGTGACAGATTTTACTTTCTAGGGCTCCCTGATCACTGCAGATGGTGACAGCAGCTATGAAATTAAAAGACGCCTGCTTCTTGGGAGGAAAGTGATGACAAACCTAGACAGTATCTTAAAAAGCCACCCTTTTCCCCACCTTAATTCAAGCCTTCTG